TATATATAGCGTGTTGTTCTCTACACGTTGAGAAAGATATTCGTCAACAATGAAAGCTATACGTTTTGTTATATAGGCCTACGTCAACTCGATACGGAGAACCCTATTAAGGGAACACCTTCGGGACCAAAAAAGTGTCCCTAGGATTGTCCCCTGAATAGGAGACCCCTATTCAGGGGACACTGATCAAAAACGAAAAATTGTCCCCTTAATAGGGATTTTTGGCTTGTTTTCATACAATGATATAAATTCTGTAAGTTTATTTTTATTGACATACAATCAGCTAAGTAGAATTTAAATTAATTTATAGCAACAATTTTCAATGCAGATACATAATACACTTATCAAATCAGCACAAATGTACGAAAACAACAATTGTTTTATATATTTAAAAAAAAAATAAACCTAGATTTCGGGGTTTCAGTCCTGTACTGTACTGTACTGTACTGTACATTTTGCTTGTGTCTTTGAGCAAGGCATTGCTTCTCCTGTAATCAGCTGTCTTGTCGGGCTCGTAGGTCGACCATACAGGCCTGTATATGATACATGTTATGGCCTCCCAATTTCATCACCATCACTGCATGGCTTCTCTCCACACAGGAGTGGGTCCTGGTGGGGTTGCCTACTCGCCTGCGATGTTTACCAGCAGCAACACTTAAAACATGAGGACCCACTGACCAGAGAAAAAGAAGCGCTTTGTAACTACAAAGAAAAGGCGCTGTATAGGCCTAAATAATATAAATAATAAATAAAAATTAAATGTTCCCAATATTATTTCATGATGCAATATTAAAGACCATATTCCTTTTTTTTTATTTAAGATATTGAGCTTTTTATTGGATTAATGTAGCATGAATAGAGTAATGACAGAATTAATGAGCATGTTGTGGTATGTAGGCCTATTTCTAATCCTATATAAAGTACACGAAAAAAAAGGGAAACGAAATCCCCATGGTTAAGAGTAAAATTTGACAAGATTGGTATATGAAGTAACACATTCAGTAGGCCTCCAATGTTTACTCTAATGATTCAGGGGAGAAAAGTCTGGTCAAGAGGTGTTAAATTATGAAGTTGAATGAATTTTTCTTACTTTCAGACTGCTGCAGTTGTTGATACAATGATAAAAAAAAATTAAGTGTCCCCTTAATAGGGGTTATTTGACCATTTGGAAATCATAATAAATATTCAAATGTTAAAGAGATACCGTATTATATAACATTACTCAATTAGGAACATGTAATAATAGTATAAAGCTCTTCATACTAGCTCTTCAACGACACCTTCATTTTATTTCAGTCGTATGAAAAAGCGTGTCTCTGGCAGGATTCAAACTTGCAACTCGCTATCAAGGCGATATCATATACCCATTAGACCTTGAATGAAATTGTCGTTGCAGGGCTATATGCCTGAGAAATTATAATAACCTCTTGTTTTATTCGAGCACTCTTCCATTTGTTATATTGAGTTTAAAATGATCGGGTTGTGTACATTTTTAAGCAGAGTTAAATTATGTTTAATCAAAACCGAAAAGTCAACAGCAGAAATTCCAATTAAATAGACAATTGTTCCACAAAAAAACAAAAAAACAAAAAAAATCCCCCAAAAAACCAGAAATATTATAAAGGAAAGGTGTCGGCAAATACAATCAGGGGCATACCCACAATGCTGAATATGCCCTGCTAAAAGAACGCAGTACACTTCCTGCGGTCGCTTTGCAAGATCATGTGATCAGGGGTGGGCATAAAAATCGGTTGGAGGGCCAAAGTGAATTTTCGATTTAACACCGAGCCGCACCCAAACTTTGTCTTTGATGGACCTTCCAAAAAAACCCCAAAGCACATATTTTACACCACTTTTATTCTGAGTTTTAATGTTACTTTTTACATATGATCGGTGTCGGGCCGTCTTGTCTTTATTTTTTCTCTTTGCGCGCATTTCTTGTCAGAGTAGGTCAATTTCCTCTAAAAATTGCACATTTTAGGGATTTTGGATCAATTCCGACGAAATTAGAATTAAAAACACCAGGGGACAAGGAGAAAATATTCATCTTTGGAAAATCTTTCCCCACCCCTTGATAAATGCCCTTTACATCCTCTGAAAGTGCCTAAAATCCTCAAATTTCGTCGCTTCGCGCGCATTTCTTGTTGCGGTAGGCCAAGTTCCTCTATAAATTGCACATTCATCTAGAGGTGCCCTAATCATAAATTTTCTTACCTCACGTGGACCCTTAGACGGTGAATGTCCCTCTCTGGGTCACCTCTCTTTCGAATTACTGGATCCGTTACATTTGAGTTATTGTTATAGTTATTGTTATGCTTACTAAAATTATTTATGATGCGTCTATTACAATTTTCACTTTATCTCTCAAAACAGTCCTTAAACGTTCAGGGCGCGCTATACCTCCCAGCGGGCTTAGCCCCTTGGACCCCAAGGAGGAGAACGTTGAGCAGTAGGCCTACCCATCCAGATCTGGATTCATTACTATAGGCCTACCTACTATGAAGCATTTGAAGCGATTGTTAAAAATACGGTCATTGGTATCGATTTTCCATATCTAAAACGTATTGCTGGTCACTCTCTCGTAGCAAACGAGTCATTCCAGGATAATTCATCTGAGTCTATGGTTGCTTTTACAGACTGTATTTGTAGTGAATTCTGGCTATCCAGGAGTGGATGTTATTTTTGGGGTTTTTTTTCTGAATCTTTACTGTACTTTCCAGGCGCGTAACAGGGGTCTTAGTCAGGGGGAGGGCAAAGGTAATAATTTTCCCGGTTAGTAATTTATTATACCCACCCCACCCCCTCCCCATATAGAAAACAATACGACATAGGGCTTATCTTATTTATAATATAGGCCACACACGTGTGTTTGAAACTAAATAGCATTTTCATCATGGTTTTATTTATTACAAACATATTCTTTCACCATCAATACACATTGAAACCATTCTTTTATATAGGTTAAAACGATCTATCTTAAATTTTTCTATCTTGAATTTGGGACTATTATGTATTTAAATAACTTAAAAGGATATCCCTAAAAAAACTCTAGTAAATGCGAGCGAAGCGCGCAAAACGTTTTTGTGTTTTTAATTCTAATTTCGTCGGAATTGATCAAAACTCCCTAAATGGCCGGAAATTACACTCTCAGACATAAATTTGAATATATCTTTCTTTTTTTTCCCCTAGTAAAACAGTTTAAGTGAGGTGTGGTGGGGGGGGGGGGGGGGGGGGAAGCTTGAATCCGCCACTGCTTAAAACAGTCTTTATCCAAAATAGCATAATCATGAAAATTCAGATTACAACGAAGGTAAGGGTATGGAGACATTTCGTGAGTCTACGCCCACCTCAGGCCCACATGGTGGGGTACGAACATTTGAGGAAACAGTACCGTCCTCTATGGCCAGAAATAACACTTTCAGTAAAATTTATCATTACATCACCATTATATAGGCTATAGTCAAAAAAAGCGCCAACAAATTTCTCATGAGCTTTCATCAGGGATTTTTGGCAACCTTATGATCTTATTAATATGTGTGATATACCATAGAAAATAGAGCTTAAAAACATTGTCTTTAAAACATGTCTTTGATGTATGTACTGTACATATTTTTCAAAGCATTCAAAGCCGTGATTTCACAACGACCTCAGCTCCACCATGGTTGGGGCTGAGGTGAGAAAATTTGAGGAAAAAGGTATTCTCAGGATGGCCGAAAATTGAAACTTTTAAATAGTAAAATTCATCATCATCATCTTATCAACATTATATGCTAACAAATTTCTCATTATCTTTTATCAGGAATTTTTTCGGCAGCCACAGAGATCTAATTAATATCCAGGTCAACTTTATAGGCCTAACTATATATTAAGCTTTAACTAATATAATAATTATGATCAACAAATGACAAATTTATTTTTCGCCTTAAGCACAATTTTTAATGTTATTAATATTTATTACTTATTATCATAATCACCATCGTCCTCATCATCATCATTATTATTGTTATTATTACTAGGCCTACTTGTAGTAGTATTATTATTAAACAAAACTTCATAAACGCTTGCAAAAGGATAAAAACCAAACTGAACCATACAATATCACTTTTCTG